TCTTGTTCTTTCGGTAAAGTCACGTAGAAGGGAAAACATTAAATATTGTTTTATTTATTTTATTATTTCCCTTCTACGTGACTTTACCGAAAGAACCAAGAATATTTATTGAGATGTTGTATTTGTGTTTGTGCCTTGTGATGGGTGAACGTTGAGATTTTATGAGGGGCATGCGGTGACCAATGAGGTCTGACTTGGCCCGCTGTAATAAGGTAGGGCGCTGACAATGGGTTACAGGTATGGGGTTGGGCTACGTACGTTGCTGCCGAAAGGATTTCAACGTACAGAGTGTTTGTCGCCTTGGGGATCGTCCATAAATGACGTCACGCGATTTTGGACGATTTTTGACCCCCCCCCTTCGTCACACGGCGTCACAAAAAGTCAGACCCCCCCCTCAAATATGACGTCACAAAGCTCTGCCCCCCCCAAAAAAAAATATAAAACATACTTCAAATCGCTTTAAACTATTGTATTTGTAGTGCGTATTTAATGTGGCGCTGCACTCTGATATTGTAGGATAAAACATTTATTTAAAAGTATATTTAATTAAGTAGAGAACGTGTTGTCTATATTTATTTAAAGTTGCGCATTTTGATGCGACGTCACATTTCAACCCCCCCCCCCTCCCCCATCGTCACGCATCGTCACAAATGCCTGACCCCCCCCCCAGGTGCGTGACGTCATTTATGGACGGCCCCTTCCACAGACAGACAGAACGTTGAGGGGCGGACGCTGCTGTTAGCGAGCACCTATTACAGCCAACGCAGTGCATGCAAGTGGGTGCGCGGGTAGGTGGTCAGCACTGCAGCGCTGGTATCTGTTTAGGTATCCCCCGTGCCATTAACCTCGTCCAACCTGAATGACCGCACACACACACACGAATAAACCCCCCATAGGTCGCCACGGTGGCTAGGAGATGTTAACTACCTCGCTTAGTATGCAGGATGTCGTGGGTTCGATCCCGACCCTGACGCCTGCTGTACGTTTGGAGTTTGCGTGTCTCTCTGTTTCATCATCATCATCATCACGGTGGCTAGGAGATGTTAACTACCTCGCCTAGTATGAAGGATGTCGTGGGTTCGATCCCGACCCTGACGCCTGCTGTATCTTTGGAGTTTGCGTGTCTCTCTGTTTCATCATCATCATCACGGTGGCTAGGGGATGTTCTGATATGCAGGGTGACGTGGGATCGATCCTGACCCTGACGCCTGCTCTATATTTGGAGTTTGTGTGTCTATCTGTCTCTCTCTCACCATCACAGTGGCTATGAGATGTTAACTACCTCGCCTGGTCTACAGGATGTCGTGGGTTCGATCCCGACCCTGACGTCTGCTGTATCTTTGGAGTTTGCGTGTCTCTCTCCCCGTGGTCGCGTGGATTTTTCTCCGGGTCCTCCGGTTTTCCCCTCCAAATTTAGAATCAACATCACCACGCGTTTCGAGTATTTCACTGCTGCTATTATATTTCCACACGATTCAATCTTAGGTCGACTCAGCCATAAAATTTTCGTTGAGCTGCTATAATTTCATAGCCAGGGTCGCTTCTGAAAAAACCCAGATACACAGTAGGTCACTAGGGCCTCACAACTGGTAAGCACAAAATAAACAACAGAGTAAATAGTACATTACATTTGGCGCGTACACTTAATGGTGTCGAAAGTCCAACTCTGAGAATTCGCACCTCATGTGACGAACGTGACTCTCGGTGACACGGGTGGGACATTGGAATTCGGACTATGCCGGGCTCATAGCAGCACGAGGTGCGGTGGTCCAGATGTCTTGTGACCCACCCCCATCCTCCTCCTCCTCTCCCCCCAATGTAAGTCTCTAAAACTCAATATTGTGAAGTTTATTTAAAACAGAAATTAATATTAAATAAAGGAACACAAATGTTAGGGGTCAAATAAATTAGGGGATGGGGGGGGGGGATGAGGAGCGGGGGTCACGAGACATCATTAGGGGCGCCGCGGTGGCTAGGAGATGTTAACTACCTCGCCTGGTCTACAGGAGGTCGTGGGTTCGATCACGAACCAAACGCCTGCTGCTGCTGTATATTTGGAGTCTGCATATCTCTCTTTCTCTGCCTATGGGCTCTTAGTGTATTTGGCTGCGATAACTTTCCACATTATGATAAGCCACTTCGCTTAGGCTAAAGAAATGAGTTTGTCAATCTACATGGTGATTTGAAAGTACATAGCTCCCAGTGGCTACCTAATATCGGAGGAGTGTTCCAGACGGACGCGTCATCAATATCACCACCATCAACGTCAACATACCCCAATTATTCATCATGCAGCTATCTCAACATCACCACCATCAACATCATCATCACCACCACCAACAAGTATGCATGTTGAACTTCTTTTGCATCGTACGTAGCAAACCGCGTTAATAGGAGGTGTGTGTGTGGCGGCGGGGGGGGGGGGAACTAGCTAAATACAAGAAGAAGCAGTTCTAAAGAAATGAGTTGTGATGAAACTCGGTCAAGTGTAGCCATATTCTTAGGTTTTTTCGGTAAAGTCACGTAGGTAAAAAAAATAATAAAAGTAAAATAAAACAAAATAAAAAATCACGACGTTTCGGAAGCAACACAACGTCGTGATTTTTTATTTTATTTTATTTTACTTTTATTAATTAAAAACATTTTAACCTACGTGACGTTACCGAAAAAACCTAAGAATATGAATCCTTGCAGTCACGAAAGCTTCAAATCTAGAATCAAGTGTAGCCAGTTGATGGGCTTAACCCGGTCACCAATGGCTCGTATAGAGATTCATAGACTCTCACAGAGACCCACAGACTCACACAGAGACCCACATACTCACACAGAGACCCACAGACTCACACAGAGACCCACATACTCACACAGAGACCCACATACTCTCACAGAGACCCACAGACTCACACAGAGACCCACGGATTCACACAGAGACCCACATACTCTCACAGAGACCCACAGACTCACACAGAGACCCACAGACTCACACAGAGACCCACATACTCTCACAGAGACCCACAGACTCACACAGAGACCCACATACTCACACAGAGACCCACATACTCCCACAGAGACCCGTAGACTCACACAGAGACCCACAGACTCACACAGAGACCCACATACTCTCACAGAGACCCACAGACTCACACAGAGACCCATAGACTCACACAGAGACCCATAAACTCTCACAGAGACATCTAGTCTCACAGAGAGACCCACAGACCCACACAGAGACCCATAAACTCTCACAGAGGACCCATAGACCCACACAGAGACCGATAGATTCACATAGAGACCCCATTGCTTCACACAGACACCCATAGACTCACACTAATGACACAGATCCACACAGGGTCCCATAGACGCACACAGAGACCCATAGACCCACACAGAAACCCATAGACCCACACAGAGACCCATGGACTCGCACAGAGACACCATAGACCAGGGGTCGGGAACCTTTTTGACTGGGAGAGCCATAAAAGCCAAATATTTCTAAATATATTTCATTGAGAGCCATATAGTATTTTTAACGTATAATAAATTAAATATGTCTTACTTTTAATGTGACTTCTGGTGCTGCATGGTTTTGCTGATGGCCTTGTAGTCTGGTTCATACGTGGTAAGGTTGAGCTTCATGCAGGCGTGACACGTGAAATTTATCTTCAAAACTAATTTCTGTTTACTTTAAAATGACACAGTATTATTAAGTAATATCACAAGTATTTTAAAATCAGTTCCAAACTGATTTTTTTTTTTTATCATTTTTTCAACTCAAAATTGTCTGGGAGCCATATGCCGTCACTGGAAGAGCCATATATGGCTCGCGAACCATAGGTTCCCGACCGCTGCCATAGACCCACACAGAGACCAATGGACTCACACAGAGACCCATAGACTCGCACAGAGACCCATAGACCCACACATAGACCCACACATGGTCCCATAGGTTCACACAGAGGACGCATAGACCCACACAGAGATCCATAGACCCACACAGAGATCCATGGACTCACACAGAGATCCATAGACCCACACAGAGATCCATGGACTCACACAGAGACCCATAGACTCACATAGAGACCCATAGATTCACACAGAGACCCATAGACTCACACAAAGACCCCGTGGACTCACACAAAGACCCACAGACCCACATAGATACACTGACTTGTGATTAAACTGCCTTCTCAGCCTTGAATAAAAAAGCCCATTGAATAAAAATTCATTCTGCATTTTACTTGGCAAAATTTCAGCTCCGCGTTATTAAAAAGTGAACTGATTAATCGCCGGCCGATGATGAAGTCATCGTGAGTGATTGGAGCGCACGTGGCGAACAAACCACGTGGATAATTAACCACGTGGCCGCTCCGAATGTTATTGTTGTTGTCACGTGACGCAGAGCTGCACGTGCGCTCGAGCAGAGGGCGGATGTACGTCATATCCGGAGTCGTTGCTTGAGTTGCCATATAAGGGCATAGCCGCGACAGTGGGGGGGGAGGGGGTGGGAAGGGGGGGGGGGTTGAGAGGTGGGGGTGGGCGAGAGATGTGAGGGAGGGGGCCGGAAACGGTCGAGGGGGAAAGTATATTTTGGTTTATTATATATTTATAATTATATAATTTTATTATATATTATTATGATTTTTATTTTTGTTACTCTATATTATTATATTTATTAAATTGACCATTGGCCTACAAATAAAATTCAGCGTGTGAGGAGAGACCGGGGGGGGGGGCCGGAAGGGGGTGCGGGGGGAACCGATGTACTGGGGGGGAGGGGCCGGAAAAGGGTGCGGGGGCAACCGATGTACTGGGGGGGGAGGGGCCGGAAGAGGTACAGGGGGAACGATGATTATTGGGGGTGGGGGCCGGAAGAGCTCGAGGGGGGATGGTCTCGTGGGGCGAGCTGGTGGGGATGGGCGGGGCGCGGTGGTGGAGGGGGGGGTCCTTATCTCGCATCAGCAGTTCCGCAATATAAGCACCGCGTGCTCTCATTGCCACATTTGGCGTCCGTCACGCGACGTCGCCTTCCTCCTCCTCCGCTGCCGCCGCCTGCCGCGGCTGCTGCCGGGTTCGCCTCACGGCTGCTGCCGCTGTGCGCAGCGGCCATGTGGGGCTCGTTGCTGCTGCTGCTGCAGAGCCTCTCTGTCATCCCTCTCGCGGCCTCGGAGTTACAGAGGAGCCCTCCCGCGGCTGACGACGATGTCCGCGCAGGTTTGTTGTGACTTGCTGCGCGCGGTAGTTGGTTGTGGGTGGTTGTTGATGTGTGGGTAGTGGTTGTTGTTGGTGGTGGTGGTTGGTTGTTGTGGTGGTGCTGTGTTGACGGTGGTTGGTGGTGGTGGTGTGTTGTGGTGGTGGAGGCTCGTGAAGGACGCTGCTGCTGAGCAGTTGGGAGGCAGTCGCCCCTCCAGCAACAGCGGAGGCGCTATGCTGTCTCACAACAACGTGCGGAGCGCCGGGTGGCTAAAGCGCAGCACAGTAGGGGGCACAAGAGGTGCATCGGGCAGTCGTCTCGTCAGTCGACCCGTGGCACCTGCTGGGTCTGACCGTGGCACCTGCTGGATCTGACCCGTGGCACCTGCTGGATCTGACCCGTGGCACCTGCTGATCTGACCGTGGCACCTGCTGGATCTGACCCGTGGCACCTGCTGGATCTGACCCGTGGCACCTGCTGGATCTGACCCGTGGCACCTGCAGGGATCTGACCCGTGGCACCTGCCGGATCCTGACCGTGGCACCTGCCTGGATCTGACCCGTGGCACCTGCTGGATCTGACCCGTGGCACCTGCTGGATCTGACCCGTGGCACCTGCTGGATCTGACCCGTGGCACCTGCTGGGATCTGACCCGTGGCACCTGCGGATCTGACCCGTGGCACCTGCTGGGTCTGACCCGTGGCACCTGCTGGTCTGACCCGTGGCACCTGCTGGATCTGACCCGTGGCACCTGCTGGATCTGACCCGTGGCACCTGCTGGATCTGACCCGTGGCACCTGCTGGATCTGACCCGTGGCACCTGCTGGATCTGACCCGTGGCACCTGCTGGATCTGACCCGTGGCACCTGCTGGATCTGACCCGTGGCACCTGCCGGGTCTGACCCGTGGCACCTGCTGGATCTGACCCGTGGCACCTGCTGGATCTGACCCGTGGCACCTGCTGGATCTGACCCGTGGCACCTGCTGGATCTGACCCGTGGCACCTGCTGGGTCTGACCCGTGGCACCTGCCGGGTCTGACCCGTGGCACCTGCCGGATCTGACCCGTGGCACCTGCTGGATCTGACCCGTGGCACCTGCTGGGTCTGACCCGTGGCACCTGCTGGGTCTGACCCGTGGCACCTGCTGGGTCTGACCCGTGGCACCTGCTGGGTCTGACCCGTGGCACCTGCTGGGTCTGACCCGTGGCACCTGCTGGGTCTGACCCGTGGCACCTGCTGGATCTGACCCGTGGCACCTGCTGGTCTGACCCGTGGCACCTGCCGGGTCTGACCCGTGGCCTACTGCCGGCGGGCGTTGACACTTCGCGTGGCCTCGACGTGCACCTACCCTGGCACAGGCGTCGTGGTGACGTTACCGCCACTTGCGAATGGTGGTTGGAGTGGTGGTTGTTAGGAGTGGTGGTGGTCGGGGTGGTTGTGATTGGGGTGGTGGTAGCGACGCTAGCAACAACGAGCGGAGCGCCGGGTGGATAAATCACAGCAAGTTGGCACAGTAGGGGGCACAGGTGGTGCATCAGCCAGTCTTCTCGGTCATCTCAGTCAGTCGACCCGTGGCACCTGCTGGGTCTGCCTCGTGACCTCCTGCCAGAGGGCGTTCGACACTTCACGTGGCCTCAAGGTGCACATTGCCTGGCACAAAGCGTCGTGGTGACATCACCGCCACTTAGTGGCGAATGGCGGTTGTTGTTGGAGTTGTGGTTGGAGTGGTTGGTGGTGGTTGTGGTTGGAGTGGTGGTTGGAGTGGTGGTGGTGGTTGTGGTTGGAGTTGTGGTTGGAGTTGTGGTGGTTGTGGTTGGAGTGGTTGTGGTTGTTGTTGTGGTTGGAGTGGTGGTGGTGGTTGTGGTTGGAGTGGTGGTTGTGGATTGGGTGGGTGGTGGTGGTGGTTGTGGTGGTGTGGTTGGAGTGGGTGGTGGTGTGGTGGTTGTGGTGGTTGTGGTTGGAGTGGGTGGTGGTTGGAGTGGGTGGTGGTGGTTGTGGTTGGAGTGGTGTGGTGTGTTGGAGTGGTGTGGTGGTGGTTGTGGTTGGAGTGGGGTGGTGGTGGGTTGTGGTGGTGTGGTTGGAGTGGGTTGTGGTTGGAGTGGGTGGTGGTGGTGGTTGTGGTTGGAGTGGTGGATGTGGTTGTGGTGGTTGTGGTGGTTGTGGTGTGGTGTTCTCAATCGTCATCGGAATATTTATACTGCAGAAGGAATCCGATGAGCTCTAAAGCTCTTCGTTCACAGATGTTCAGTAAGAGGGGACAGGAGTAAGACGTTATGACAACAATACACCAATGCGCAGATTTGCAAAATGAAGATAAACGAGTCGCTTGAAAAAATCACACGAATGAAACTAACCTCTTGGTGTATCTTAGCAGGCGAAGCCCACTGAAGTATTCGACTTTATTTGTTTCAGAAACCACCTGTCCACACAAATGGTAACCTCGACAAAGTTGTGGCTTATCGTTGTCGTGGTGTGGACATATACCTGGTCAGCCCAAGGCCGTAGCCATGGAGTCAACATTGGGGGGGGGGGGCAAATCTTCCAGGGGGTCTGGGGTCCCCACCCCCAGAAAAAAAATCTAAATTTAAAAACTCATTTCCTGCCTAAAATGTAAAAAAATGTACTAACACATGGGATGGACTTTTTATTTATTTAAAAAAATAATGTCTAATAGTGTGTTGTATTACATTGCTGTTTTTTCTTTTTGTTTTACCCTTTCTTGTTTCATTGTATGTAATGGCAGAGATTGGGGATTAATAAAGTATAACCACAATCATATCAACAGAAATCTATTTTATGGGGGGGGGGGCATTTTGAGCATATTTGAATATTTTGGGGAATGTCTTTCCCCCCCCCCCCCCCCAATATATATAAAATAATTATGGCTTTGGGTCAACCCCTGATCAGTGCCTACCTTATTACAGACCAATTAATACCTTATTGGTCACTCCGTGCCCCTTATACATCTCAACGTTCATCTTACAAAGTCCCATCACGAGGGAGAAACACAAATAAATAATCTCAATAAATGTTCAAGTATTGAAACGGCTGTATGCCGTATGGACCTGAAAATTGAGTTTCCCTGAACAAGAATATGGGGTAAACCGTATGGGTTGACAAATATGAAATGTATAGCAGCAAAATAATCTTAAATTATATCAATGTCATGTTTATAAAATGAAGCTGCTGCTCCCTATTGTCTGAAGAGTTAACATTTGTCTAACAAGTAGCTTTCGCGACGAATTTAATAGTTTATCGACACTCATATTTACGCGATCCAACCCAAAAAACCTTGAGTTAACATTTGTTAGTGGTGGTGCTACTGGTTTGCCTGATACGCACATTCTGCACCTTGCCACTACCTGGTATAGAGCAACAGGAACGTAATAAGAGGTTTTTTCGGTAAAGGCACATAGGTAAAAAAAGATAAAATAAATAAAATCACGACGTTTCGGAAGCAACACAAGCAACCGTCATCAGTAATTTTGCTGGAGCAGTCAACACCTGAAAAAGAGTGTAGGACACATGTTTCGGATCATTATTTTCGCGGATGGGCTGGAAACTAAATTCGTTTAATGTTTGTACAGGGGTGTCAGAAATTGCATTAGCAGGGTTTGCCCCCAATGTATTATTATCAGAAAGGTCACCAGCTTCAGAAAAATGAAGGTTAAAATTGTCAACTATTTTTTGGGGCTCTGAAAAATAGTCCCCCTTTTAGGTTAAGTGCAACTGGAAGATTATCTGTATTCGATGCCTTTTGTAAATACATTTTATTGTTTTCCAGAAGATATCTGTGGGTCTCTGTGAATCTCCTGTGGGTTCATACTCTAGGTTTTTTGGTAAAGTCACGTAGGTAAAAAATAATAAAATTAAAATTAATAAAAGTAATAATAAAAATAAAATAATAAATCACGACGTTTCGGAGGCAACACAAGTCTCCGTCATCAGGTGGGACCGTCACAGCCAGATTTGCTGTATCAAGTGAGGCAAAGATTCCAAGATACAAGTTCTTAAATACAAGTTAAGGGGAGGAGGGAGGGAGGGAGGGGCTTATCTGAATGTGGTAGCCAATGAAGGGAACGTATTGGGAGGGGGGGCGGGGCTAGAAGAGAGTGAATGTGGAACTGTTGGACCTGTTGGTGCACATGCTAGAAGAGAACGAAAATGCCCATGTTGTTTTGCCCAGTGTTGGTTGACAATCAAATACAAAAAGGAGAGTACTGTTAAACGCTGGGGATGTTAACACTCGGTAAAGTAAAATAGTGCCTGTCAAATATGATGGTCCAAAAATGTGTAGTTAAATCTTTTTTGCATGGTTAATAACATCTTTCCAATGATTACTCAGTTTGTACCCATCATCACGGTTGAAATTATGTCTTCAAATCTAGAATCTCCTGTGGGTCGCTGTGAATCTCCTGTGGGTCTCTATCGGTTTACAATATGGTGCCATAATTTGAGTTGCATGGTGGCTATCACACTGTTGTGGCTTGTGTCTTTCATGCATCTGTGGGTCGACGTATTGCGATGGGTCTCTGTTTCGCGATGTGTCTCTGAATCTCCGTGGGTCTCTGGGTTTTACGATATGGTGCCATTAGGTTGTATGGCCATGATCTTACTGATGCGGCATGTCTTTATTGCATCTCTATGTATCTGTGTGTCTCCCTTGAGGTTTATTACATGGTCCATAGTGCGGATTGCATGGCCACAATGGCACTAGTCTGGCTGTCTTTAATGCATTTCTGTGGGTCGCCGTGTATCGCTATGGGTTTCTATGCATCTATGTGGGTCTATGGGTTTACTACATGATGCATGGCCACAATCTTTCATTTTCCAACCTGACCACTTGTGTGTGCCGTGTGTACGTAATGAGCTTCTTTCGCACCGAATATCGGCAGAGCCGGCCTCCTTTGCCTCCTTGACACGGGCCCGACTTCCCCGAAATGAACAAAAAAAATTGGTGGTTGTTGTTGTTGTTTTGAAATGGCGTTGTCCCCAGACGTGAGGATGGAGCTGCGTCTGGGAGTGAACCGCGTGGAGCGTCTCTCCGCCAACGAGACGCTGCTGCTGTCCCTGGAGGCGCTGCCCAACTCTGCGAGCTTCGTCACCTTCCAGGCACACAAGCGGGACGGCGGCGTTACCGTCGCCTTCTCCAGGGTAAACGGAATGTCCGCGGGGTAAACGGAATGTCCGCGGGGTAAATGGAACCGCCAACTTCGGGTTTGTTGGTATTCTCAAGTGGTTTTGCGGGTTTAAAACTAATTCTGAGAGGTGCCTGACCCTGGAGTTTAATAGTTATTCTTTATCTACCCTCCCCCGCCCCACCTACCCCCGGTTTCCCTCCCCTGTGATCCCCCACCGCCCTCCCCCTACATAGGGCTGGCTCGGTTTCCCGGTTTGCGCGCGAGCCGCGTGACATGGGCTGTGGTATCGGGGGGCTCGCATTCTGTAAACGGCAACAACAAAAATAAAAAAACGGCCTCCGCTAAGGAGGAGCCTCTGCTCTTCCACAAGCGGAAACCGACGTCCTGGAAGCTGTGGGAGCAGACCCACACTTTGCTCCACCCACAACATGACTCTGATTCCCCTCCCGTGTAGCCTGTAACAGACTGTTGGGGCAAGTGCTTTCAGCGAGTAGCAATATCCAGTGAAGGCTGCAACGGCACACGAGGGGGTGGGTGGGTGGGCCAGCACCACGCTCGCCCGCTTTTGTCTCCCCGGTGGCGATTTTACACGACACACCGTACTAAGGTAATCATTTGAGGCCGAGTCGACCTAGGGGAGGCCCAGGTCCGGTTAAGGTAATTGTAGCCGGTGTTGGCTGCGAAAGCCGGAATCGAACCTCGGGTCACCAGATTCGAAGAGGCACGTGCTAACCGCTACACTACCGCTCCCCACACTGATGCGGCACTTGTGCCAGGCCATGTGCACCTTGAGGCCACGTGAAGTGGCCTCAAGGGGGAGGGTGGCGTTTGTGCAGGCTACATGACCCAGCCAACGCAGCCTTGCCTGCCGGAGGAGCTCTACGATGTCCAGATCTTTCAAGGATCTGTGCGCTCCTCGCACAATCCAGCCTGCAGGTTAAACCCAGGATGGATCGTAGGAAGCCCAGCCTAAATGTTTCTAATCGGCGAAGATGTACAATTAGGGGGGTCCACGTTTTGCAAGCGTAGAGAATGGTTCGAATGACTGTGGCCGAGAAGACCTGAAGCTTTGTGCGGAGCGAAAGACAGATAGCTTCCACACAGCGTTACGCAACCGATGAAAAGATAATGCTGCTCGACTTATTGGAGTGAGACCTCTGCTGTCAAACTGGAGCAGGTCATGAGCACACTGCCCAGGTATGGGGAAATTCTCCACTCCATAACTGCCCCATCACCAATTGGGAGTTGTGGGGGTGGAGTGTGATGGTACAAAATACCCAGGCAGGTGCTTAGTTTTGGTGGGGCTGATGGTAAGGCCCCACTTCTTGGTGGCAAGCTCCAGGTTCAGCAGCAGCACCTCCAACTCCTTTGTGTGAGCAGCAATTACCAGATCATCGGCATAGATAATATGGTTGACCAATAAGTTGCCATCCCTTGACCGGGCATCGATCAGCCTCCCATTGTATCTGTACCAGATGGAAATTCCTCCGGTACAGCTATTGAAGGCTTCACGAACTACGTGGTCAAAATAGATGTTAAATCATGTGGGAGCCAGAGAACATCCCTGTCGCACCCCAAGGTGAACAGGGAATGGCTCCGACTCCCGGCCACGTAGTTTAACTCAGGCCCGCTCACCATCATAAAGGTCGTTAATGATCGTGAGCAGAGTCAGGGACTCAAAGCATAAAAAACAACCCAGAGTCCAGGCCTACTCATGGTATCATTGTCCTTGACCAGGTCAATAAATTAGAGATGTAGGTCTTGTTGGAATTCCCGACACCTCTGCTGTAGCAGACGGACAGAAAATATGGCATCTTTGCAGGACCGCCCTTTCCTGAAACCACGTTGGGTTTCCGCAAGCCTCTCCTCAGCGTGCCTAGCAAGGTGATTGTTGAATGTCCTTGCAAGGATTATTTCCCGGCACTGAGTAGTGAGATGCCCCTGTAGTTGTTACAGTCTGTGCGGTCCCCCTTCTTAAAGAGTGGGACCACCAGGGCATCCTACCAATCCTGCAGAACCCGTCCAGTGGTCCAGACTGTTGTTATGATGTCATATAGGGCAGTCTGTGCACAAACGCCACCCTCCCTCAGCATTTTGTTTGGGAGATCATCTCTTCCCAGTGCCATTCCTGGTCTCATGACTCTGGATCGCCTTCAGTACTTCCTCAACAGATGGCACCTCAGCCAGCCACTCACAGGGGGTCACTTCTTCCAATAGTTGAGGCACCGCAGCCTCAGCAGGGTTATCCCCACTTTGTCCCATGATGTTTTCCTGGCTGAGGGATTTCCCCTCCCCCAGGACCTCACAGAAATGCTCAGCAATCTTCAAACCTGTTCCTGGGGGTCAGAGATTGTGCGATTTAATGCAGTAATTTAATTTTTTGATTTGGCGTTTGAACGTCTTAACATCTCCTGTTTTATTGCCAGGAAAGGGTAAAAACCTAATAATATTTTTTTCATACTTTGATACTGGCAAAAAAAGGTCCCATGTTGTGTACCTGCTGATCGGGATGTAAGATTTTCGGTGTGCGCGTGTGGAATAATAATGTGTGTGTGTCAGGCCCTCAGGAGAGGAAACTCGTACACTGGCACGGACGCAGGGCTGCTGTTTTCACTTCATCCCCGGGACAGCCGACTGCTGTGGTACATGTACACGGGGGCCCAAGCCAACGCCACAGCCAGCCTTCTGGCGCTGGCCTATTCAGCCAGTGGTGAGGATCATGTGCACGCACACACACACGGCGTGTGTGGCTAAGCACAGCGCGTGTGTGTCGTGTGTGTGTCGTGTGTGTGTCGTGTGTGTGTCGTGTGTGTGTCGTGTGTGTGTCGTGTGTGTGTCGTGTGTGTGTCGTGTGTGTGTCGTGTGTGTGTCGTGTGTGTGTCGTGTGTGTGTCGTGTAGTGTGTGTATGTAGTGGGGAGCGGTGGTGCAGCGGTTAGCGCGCCGCGCTACGAACCCGGTGACCCGAGTTCGATTCTCGCTCGCGGCCACCAACGCCAGTAACGATTATTTGAACCGGCTCTGGGCCTCCTTTAGGTCGACTCGGCCTCAAATGAGTACCTGGTGCGTTGTGTAAACATCGCCACGCGGGAGACAACGGCGGGTGGGTGTGGTGCTGGCCACCTGCCCCCTCGTGTGCCGTGCCGGCCTTCGTAGGTAGCTGCTCGCTAGCAGCACTTGCCCCTACAGTCTGTTAAGGCTACACGGGGGATGTTTGTCTTTTGTCTTTGTATGTTGAACTTTCTTCGCACGGTACGTAGCCGACCGTGCTCATCGGAGATGCTAGGGAAGGACCACAAGCTAAACACAAAAATCGGCTTACCCTTGCATGGTAAGATTTGAAAAAAAAAACGTTTAATGCTTATGTTTCAATAGTGTGTGTGTGTTTATTTTAATTGTGATTTTTAAATGTTTTTTTTTTGTGGTCCGTGTTATAATGGTAGGTTAAATCGCAGTTCGTCTGTGTTTTCGCCAGTGGCTCCCGCGGTGCCCTACGCAACTGCTTTGCTCTGCACACTGCACACTGCTATAATACACAATACCTCACTACACTACACTACATACACTCCACTTCTGGCTGGCCATCCAACAAACAGTCGCCACATCGCGCGGCGCTTTCAGATCGCGCTGCTTCTGCGGCCGTCTGCAACGCTCCTGCCTTCCCATATTAGGAAGCCCCCTGGATCTGTGCACGGCGATGGTGATTACGCTGAGAGACAGAGCGGCACGTCGATTAGAGAACGCACACAGGGTAGAGACATCGCCATCGCCATCGCACCGCATTGCTCTTCCTCCAGCAGTAGATGGAACAAAGGCGGTGGTACCACACCGCACGCCTACAGATGTGCTGCTTCTGCGGCCGTCTGGAATGTGCTTCCCTTTCGATAATATTGGGACGCCGCTGCGAGCCGTGCTGCTGCACAAAGAAATCGTCGTTTCAATTGACAAACTCGTTTCTTGACATTCTTGACAACGACTTGTGCTTATGCCCGCCAGCCGCCCCCGCAGTGGCGGGGCCGTGTCAACGTTTTGAATATATTTGCAGCTGATGGGATGGCAATGGAACTCTGGGGCAGTTGTTAATTGTTGTAGTAGTAGTAGTGGTATTGATAGTAAGAGTTCACATCCAGTTACGACTTGATACATCCGATCCACGTTTTTCCAGCACTCTCTCCGCTCCCCTCCACTCTCTCCGCTCCACTCGTTCCTGTCCGCTCCCCTCCACTCCTCGAGCAGACCCTGTGCCGGGCGGCTGTACCTGGAGTACGACATGGAGGTGGACCCCAACCTCCGTCTGAGCTACAACCTCTACGAGACGGTGCTGGAATTTGCTCCGGCCAACCTCGGTTACCCACGGTCAGTCATCCCTTCTCCCCACCCAACTACACCATTTACATACTTTACACAATAATCATATACTATACACTACACCATTTATACTGGTAGGAATCTCCGGGTACTCTAGGTTACAGCCGCTGTGTGTACGTGTGTGTACGTCGGAATAGCCTGCCGGCGTGCGCCTGCTTCTCTGCCTCGTCCGCCGCAGGGGTTCTGCGCCACCAGCCTGCGACCAGGACAAGGGCCCCGACTCTCGCTGGCGCCTGCAGTACGACGTCTACCAGACCTTCCTCGACGAGGGCGACCTGGGGGTGGACTCCCTCCTGAGCGCCCTGCGCCGCTTGTCCACCGCCGGCGGCTGCGAGGCGTACGGCTCCAAGGTACGTATGGAAAGTCCTTGTTTGTGTGTGTGTGTGTGTAAGGGGGAAGTCCTCGTGTGTGTGTGTAAGGGGGGAGCGGTGGGGTAGCAGTTGGCGCGCTGCGCTACGAACCTGACCACCCGAGTTCGATTCCCGCTCAAGGTCAACGTCGGTGACGATTAGCTGAACCGGTCTTGGGCCTCCCCTAGGTCGACTCGGCCTCCAAAGAGCACCTGGTGAGGTGTGTAATACTGGTAGGAACGAAGTGGACCAGCCACCAATAGATTATTTCGTCCGTCCGTCCGTCCGTGTAGCAACATCGCCCCCTACTGCAAACACTTGGCATGACCCTACAAAAACCTTTAGACTCGGTGACGCTTTCCTGGCTAAACAAGTGTAACATTCCCTTATAATTCCCTCAGATAGCTTTTAATTAAAACTTTGAATTAAAAAATAACTCCCAGCGCCCTAAAGCCTACAGCTAGGCCTAAAGCCTCGAACTACGCCTATCACTCTCCCTTCGTATCGTACCCCCGCGTGTGTGCAAGGGAGTTAATGTTTAACAATGTTACATTCCCTGATGCTTTTAAATAGAAACATTTAAATTTAAAGCTTTTACTTAAATTATAAAAACATTTAATTTTAAAATTAACTCACGGCGGCCTAAAGCCTACAGCTAGGCCTAAAGCCTAGAACTAGGCCTTAACCTCTCCCTTCGTATCGTACCCCCGCGTGTGTGAAAGGGAGTTAATGTTTTACAATGTTACATTCCCTGATGTTTTTAAATAGAAACATTTACATTTTAAAGCTTTTACATAAATAATTAAAACATTTAAATTACAAATTAACTCACAGCGGCCTAACGCCTACAGCTAGGCCTAAAGCCTAGAAGTAGGCCTCACACTCCCTTCATATCGTCCGATTCGGTGTAGCAACATCGCCCCCTACTGCAAACACTTGGCAGAACCCTACAAAACCTTTAGACTCAGTGGGGCTTTCCTGGCTAAACAAGTGTAATAATACATTATGTTTATATTCTTTGGTTATTCGTTCCTACCAGCCCACCCCGCAGGGTCCTGTTAAACATCGCCACTGGGGAGAAAGACGGCTGGGCATGGTGCTGGCCACCCACTTCCCCCTCGTGTGCTGTTCTGGCCTTCATAGGTGTTGCTCGCTAACAGCACTTGCCCCAACAGTGTTTTTAAAGGCTATATGGGGGATCTTTGTCTTTGTGTTGTACGAGCCCGACGGATTGTATCGGTGCGTGTACGAATGCATATGCGTTAGTACAGGTGCTGCTACTCCCTATTGGCACTTGCCCCAACAGTTTGTTAAGGCTACACGGGGGGATTTGTGTATTTTGAAATGTGCCGCTAGTAGTAGTAGTAGTTGTATAGGCAGAGCTGTCAAGCCATACGGTTTGCCCGTATTCTTGTGCAGGGAAATGGAGTTTTCGGGTCCATACGGCGTACAGTCGTCTCAATACGGACAACGATGAAGAATTCTGTTTGTTTTGTCCCTTGTGATGGCACTTTGTAGGATGAACGTTGAGATTTATAATATTGTCCATAAATAGAGGGTTTGTTGTGGGTTGGAGATCGCGTAAATATGCACTGGTTTGTCTTCAAACCCGCCACCACAACCACCCAACACGCAGCCGATTTTAGTGAAGGTTTGTCACGTGAACAATGTGACGGTTTAGTTACGAGTTGAGCACTTACCAAGGGGTGTGTGTGTGTAGTGTGTGTGTAGTGTGTGCGTAGTGTGTGCGTAGTGGGGAGCGGTCGTGCAGCGTTGAGCGCTACGCTGCACTATGAACTGATCGAGTTCGATTCCCGCTCATGGCCAACGCCAGGTGACGATTTTGATCTGAACCGGTCATGGGCCTCCCCTAGGTCAACTCAGCCTCCCAAATGAGTATCTGGTGCGGTGTGCAGTAACCAATCGCCACTGGGGAGACAAAGGCGGCCGGGCGTGGTGCTGGCCACCCACCCCCTTGTGTGCAGTGCCGGCCTTCACAGGTGCTGCCGATTTCGGAACGCACGCGTGATGCCTAGTAGTAGTAGTATTGGCGTCGCTGTTTATTTTTTATTTTTAAGACGTGCACTCGTACACCGCAGGGGACGTTGGCGGAACGACCGACGCCAGTCTAAGATAGCCGGCGCCAAAAACTGTGCCACGCGAAAGGCACCGCACGCACGCAAGGCCTTGCGGGAGGATTGATACCGATTTATAAAAGTTACTTTATTTTGAGCTTTTCCCTTGCGGTTTCGTTCCAATGACGTGTGTGTACGTCATCGGAACAGGAAAGTATTGACATCCTTCTGTATTATTACTGGAAAGAGGGTATGGTGTAAAGCGTTTATATGTTTTTCAATTGAATGGCTGATGGATATCCCCTACTCCTCCAGCCTTGACTGGGAACTATTTTCGACCTTTTCCCTTTTTTGGGGGAGTGAGAGTCGTCGATCCTCTAGATCTCTGGACCCCCCCCCCTCTCTGTCTCTATCTGTCTCAGTCTCGGTCTCTGGATCACTCGGTCTCTCTCTCCCTCGATCTCGCGCAAGCCGGTCGCGTCTGCCGAGTTGTCCCTCGTTACTTTCCACCACCCTGCCGTGCCCATGCCGGGTCCTTGGGAGCTCCGCTCTCTTGGTGCCCCCCCCAGCCGGCCGGAGGACCTTGAAGATGCCGCCGCCGCCGCCTCGTGTTTGCGCCTCTTCCCCGGGGCGCCGTGGTGATTCGCCGAGACAGGAGGTCTATTCGTGGTGATGAATGGCTTCCCTTTGTGGTGGTCCGTCCCAGTTGCCGCGTTGCGGCGAGCACTTTACGTGCCGCTTGTAAAACCCCTGCGAGCGCACGCAATGCAGACGAAGAGTCCCCCGTGTAGCCTTAACAGACTGTTGGGGCAAGTGCTGTTAGCGAGCACCTACACACACACAGATACAAAGACAAAGATCCCTGTGTAGCCTGAACAGACTGTCGGTGCAAGCGCTGTTAGCGAGCACCTAACGAAGGACGGAATTGGGTGGCTAGCAACAGGCCCGGCCGCCTTTGTCTCCCCAGTGGCCATGCTGTTACGCACCGCACCAGGTACTCATTTGAGGCCGAGACGACCTAGGGGAGGCCCCAAGGATCGGTTCCGATAATCGTCACGTGATGTTGGCCGTGAGTGGGAATCGAACTCTGCATCGCCAGGTTCGTGGCGTGGCGTACTAACCGCTACAGCTCCGCTCCCCCTTGCACACGCGGACGGACACGCGTCTGATTGTTTGTGCGAGAAGCTCATTGAAATGGTTTTTATATTTGAAGCAACTGGAATACAATTTGCCCCTCATTCGCCACCCCCCACCCCCAAGGGAACGCGTACAAGTTTCTATTTTGATGGGGGTGTGTGTGGCACAGTGGTTGGCACCCTGTACGATAAATTATATATATATTTAATTTTAAACCCAGCATGTGACATTCGTCGATTTTTATTATTTATATTAATCTGCGGGTTGCATGGCGTGGCAGAGTTTAATCACGCTTGACGCCCCCCCCGGGGATCTGCGGCGCTTTCAGATCCGCTGCTCCTGGCGGCCGTCTGGAACGCTCTTCCCTTCTGAATATTAGCAAGCCACTGGGAACGGTGCACTTCCAAATAATCGTCATCATCGACATCGGCAAACTCAAATAATCATTACGGCTTTTCGTGTTTAGTTGTCCTTCCGATTTAGCACAGTTGGCTACGTACTGTGCGAAAGAAGTTCCACACACCTACAGCTCTGAGTCTCCCCTTGTGAGTCCACGGGTCACTCGGTCACCGCTGGCGAGGCCAGGACCCACTGGCGTGGCACGAGAACCGTCCGTACGTATTGACAGCGGTGTGACCGTCAAATTCTCAATGCCGCCCCCACCCCCCCCCCAACCTTCCACTGTGTGTGTGTTTTGACCCAGAGCGTCATCTTGGTAAAAGGATCTTCCCCAGAAGCGCTTCTGTTAATGTCCACTTTTATTCTGTGGGCTGTTCTCCCAACGATGGAAGTTTTGTTTTATTCCCCCCCCCCCCAACCAACCCCATCTCAAACCTCCCCAGAGGGAGGTTCTGAAATCGCTTCCACGACCTTTCCCGTTCCCTCCCTCCACCACCCAGATGCGGACGCTGAGCTCGTCGGAGAAGCCACGCCTGGTGCAGACGTCGTACCCGGCCAGGGCGTGGCGTACTGCGTGGTGGTGCGCGATCCCCGGCGCAACACCAGCGCCGCCTACGTGCCCGCCGCCACCTACGCCTGCAGCTTCGCGGCGCAGCGACGGCTGCTACCACCTCGTGCGTCTCCATCGCCGTCGCCGTGGCCGTTGCCGTTATTCCCGTGACGTCGTCATCGTCGTGGTCGTCCTCGTGAACCACCATCGGCGCTGTCGCCGCTCGCGCCGCCCGTTGCCGTGGTCTCTCGCTCCCCGCCTGCAGCCCCTGGCTGGCTCGGCCTCGGTGTGTTTTCGTTGAATTCTTCGGCACCGTACGTTGCCAGGCCGTGCTCAACTCCACTAAGCTCGACTCTTTTTAGTTTTCGCTTGCTTGCTTGCGCGCTTACGACCGTGCAAATCTTTAGGTCGTGTTTTAACCCACTTCCCGTGATCCAATCGAGCTGACATTTTGCACACAGACTCGTTGTGCGTGACAATTAATGTTCGTGAAATTTTTTTTCCAAAATTTACACTTTTTAGAAAAAAAAAATTATATTTATTACCAATTGCTTATGTGGCAGGCAATCATCTGACCCATAGGTGGCAGCCATCTCAACCAGAGGACGAGGGACTCTAGCCGCCACGCATATAAAGGTTTATAGTGAAACTTTGTTTTTACGGTTAATTTTTTCATGTTACATTTGGCAGCTGCCAAATTAATCATTTGGTGTAGGCGCTACTTTGTGTCGACTTCTTTTCCCTTTCGTACGGATTCATAGCAGCAGGATAAAGATGGAGTTATCCACTCGATTGTCTGATCTCGGACGCAGGGTGGGGGATCTCGTCCGTTTGAAGGCGGCAGCGGCGGCAGCGGCTTGTTTACGACGCGGCGCTCGATTTTTGGTTTGGGATTGGTGGCCGTCCGTGGTTCCACCGATCATCTTTGATGCGCCACTTCTGGAGTCGGGTGGTCGCATCGCCGCATGGCCCGGTCCCGATTCGTTTGGTGGTCGACCATCGCGCGTTTGTTGGTTATTGGCGTTGGGCCCCCCCCCCCCCACCTCGACCTCCTCCTCCCGTTCCCCTCTTCAAACTCCCCTCATCACCGTTGCCCAGTCTCTTCCTCCGAACCGTGCCTCTCCACACCGTCCCGCGCCCCGACCCCCCTTTTACACCCTTGCGTGACGACTACTTGGCACGGGCAAATACGCACCGGTGCACGTTCCACGTGACTACGTACAGACGTCCGAGCCGTCGCTGGCCACCCAGCCCCTCCCTCGAGTGCCACCCCAGCCCCTCCTTCGCGTGCCACCAGCCCCTCCCCTCGAGTGCCACCCATCCCCTCCCTCGTGAGCCACCCAGCCCCTCCCTCGTGTGCCACCCAGCCCCTCCCTCGAGTGCCACCCAGCCCCTCCCTCGAGTGCCACCCAGCCCCTCCCTCGGAGCCACC